ACCTTTTGTTTGTAAATATTTTCGTGAATACATAGACACAACTGTTAAAGCTATATTTTGCAACACATTATTACAAGACATCGAAAACGAACAAAAACAAATAGAATGTGTACAAAAGTATCATAATGAAAATCATAACGGCATAGTAGAGACTTATAAACATTTAAGGCATCAATTTTACTGGCCCTCTATGCAAACAACAATCTCTAACCTCATTAATAAATGTGAAATTTGTTTAACAAATAAATATGAAAGACACCCTTACAAACTTCCACAATTAGGCCCTTTACTAGGACAGAAACCTTTTGACATAATACACATAGACATATTTCAGTGCAATAAAAATCTCTACCTGACAATAGTAGATTCTTTCTCAAAATACGCTCAGTGTTATAAAATTCCTGATAAAACTTCAATCTCAATTTTAAGTAAATTAAGACATTATTTTTCTCACCACAATTACCCCAAAAAAGTCGTATGTGACAACGGCAAAGAATTTAATTCTGCCTTAGTCATCGAATTTATGAAATTACATAAAATTGAAATTCATTATACCACAGTAAATAATTCATCATCAAACTCCCCCGTAGAACGATTCCACTCCACCCTACTTGAGAAACTTAGAACATTACGAAATCAAAACCCACAAGACCCCTTAGACGACACATTTACACATGCAGTATTAATCTATAACCAATCAATTCATAGTGCCACAAATTACTCTCCTTTTTCAATATTATACGGACCATATGCCGAAGAAATACATTTTGATTTTGATCTTCCCCTGTATGAAACATACAATCAAAGACATAAGGATGAACTTCGTCCTTTCATAACTGACTTATACAACAAACAAAAAGAAAAAAGACAGAAAATATTAGAAAAACAAAACGAAAGTGCCGAAACCGTACCTGAAATAGATCTTACACAAACCCTTTATGTAACTAAGAAAAAACATAGGCCTAAATTAAATGCCCCTTATTCTATTATACACCCTAAAAAACAAATTAACACAAAAATTATAGGTAAAACTAATAAACAAAACGACACTAGTACTCATTTAAAATTTGCTAAAAGAATTCGAAAAATAAAAAATAAAAATTTTCAAGACGATACTTCTTTACAGGACAATCCTCTCCCTGGGACGTCAGGGACAGCTTGTCAAAATTCAAGTGATTCCGAATAATGGATATTACGCTGAAGAAATTGGCAAATCCCGAGAAATTTCACATTATCATAGACACATTTTACACATTGACCTACAAAAACTAGAAGAAATTTTAGATATCAGCCTTAACGACTATTTTAAAAATTCATTAAAAACTGGACCACTTTCTCTATTAAATACTCAATACAATCACATACATGGTGAAGCAAAAGACAACCTACATAAAATAACACGAAAACAGAAAAAAGGACTATTTAATTTTCTTGGCACGACTATAAAATACATAACCGGAAATCCTGACGACTCTGACTTAAATTTACTAAAGACTTACATTACCGCAATAGAAGTTAAACAAAATGAAATAATAAAAAAATTTAATAATCAAATCTCATTTGGCCAATCTATTGATACGAGATTCAATAAACTTTTAGAACAAGTAACTAAAAATAATAGAGCCCTTTTACTAGCAATTAATAAAGTATCAGCTGATTTTGATGGATACATTACCCTACATAATGAAATAATAAATCTTCAAAACATTAACGAATTTCTTATGAAACTTATTCGGACAATTACCCTTTCACATTTAAATTTGTCAAATATAGAATTATTTACTCTTAAAGAACTCGAGGACTTAAAAGAAAACCTTATAAAAATTTACTCAAGAAATGCCCTACTCGTCGATGACGAACACCCATATGAACTTATCGAATCATCTAAATCTCTAGTTTGCGTCACACCCAATACAATGCTCATAATTCTCAAAATCCCAATCCTCCACGTTAACGCTTACCCCACCTTTAGAATTTATCCTATCCCTAATAATGATCACATAATGGTTTTGCCTCCTGCACACTATTATGCCAATAGCAAATGGTATGAAACATGTACCGGCCAAGCAGATTACACTATATGTGCCAAGCCCGTGAAGTCCAGATGCCTCATCCCTAATGTTCAAAATTGCACCAAAACATTGATCACAGAGAACTTTTCACAGGAAACCCGAAAAGTAATTTTATTGGGAATAGTCCACCCAATAATAATAAATCAACAAGAAATCCGAAAAAGCAGCATCCTGTTGTCAGATGAACCTATCGACATAGAAGGAATTCACTATGATAAGAAAACTATTCAAGAAATCGCCATTCCAGAAGTCATCCCAATTAGACTAATTCCAGAACATAAATTAAAAATTGAAAAATTGAATATTCCAGAAAGCCACGGACAACTCCAACCAATAGAGCCAATAGCACTTATGCCACAAATTTCAACAGGACTCAGCAGTGTCGCCCTTGTCCTTACAATTTCTGTTTCAGCCATCCTTTTTACTATCGCAGTAAAGAAAAAGAAAAGAATATCAAAAATTCTTTTTGGGCCCAAACTACAACCAGCACAAATCCAGGTTCTTCAGGAGCTACTCGTAGAGACTTCGAGGACGAAGCCAGGACCAAAGGAGGGAGGAGAAATGTGATAGAAACCCACCGTTCAATGCCCGGAGTGCCTCGTCAGCAAAGTCAGCGCTTTGCACCTTGGCGACAATGAACCCGAGATTATAAATACCATGTCAACGTGGGAATCAACGTTCTTTTTATTTTAATCACTTACGATAAACATTGTTAATTAAAGATCCATTTTTGTATAATTTTTAAATAAATAAAGTTTGCTTTTTTTTGGAAACTTAAAGTGTTGTTAACTTAACTATATGGACATTTGCATAAAGTAGAACATTATGCAACTGATTACGAAAAGTTGATTATGTCATCAGTTACCAAATGAAAATAAATAAAACTGCCTCTTTTTTGGTTTCTAAGTTGAAAAATTGTAAAATCGAGAAATTGAGATACCGAGAAATCGAGAAATCGAGTAATCGAAAAATCTAAAAATAAAAAATTGAAAAATCCAAAATTCCAAAAAACGAAAAATCGAAAAAACCAAATATCGAAAAAGAGGCAATGAATAGTGACATTTCACATTTGAAAATATGACATTACGTTTAAAAACAAAAAAAGAGAAGCTGTAAATTGCGTTTAATTTTTAAAATAACACCGTTATTGAAAACTGCCCAGAAATGTTGGGGGTAAAATTTTGACGTACTTCTTTAAGGATAATGGGTAAAAATGTTTTTTTTTCAAATTTCTCGCGGGTAATGTCAAAAATTAGATCGGCAACACTGCACATGTCCCTTATTTTTATTATTACTATTGAAAAAAAAAACGCCGTAGGGCAATCAAATACAACAATTTTCTAAAATATTTGATTGGAAGTACCTACACAAGAATGATGGTGAATCATTTTTCAACACAATTTTATAAATAATCAAGTCAAAATTAGAAAAAATCTTGTATATAAACACGTTACGAAATTCCGTTTTGTGTAAGTCGTTCATGTTGCGGGAACTCGCTCCGCTCGTTTTGCAAATATTTACTCGTTACACAAAATAAGGCATTTCGTAACTGGTTACATAAATAACTATTAATTGACTTTCTAATATTCATTGGACGGTATTTTCCGTAAATAATTAAATCATAAATAATTACCAGGATATAAGGGAGCGTTCAAGTATGTCGTAACGAATTTGGGGGGAGGGGGGTTTTGTAAAACGTTATGATGCGTTACAGGGGCTGGAGGGGGGTTTGAACTACGCGTTACGTAACATTATTATTTTTTAATTCAGAAAAGTCGCGTAGAGAGATTCTCTCACGCATTCTTTAAAACGTTTTTTCTCAAAATTTCAAATGGAGTGACATAATTGTGATTTTTAGGTAAAAATAGTCACTTTGTGGTTACGTAACGTTTAACTAGGGGGGGGGGGGAGGGGTACAGAAAAACGTTACGACGCGTTACATGGGGGGAGGGGGGGTTAAAAATCTCCAAAAATTGCGTTACGTAATACTTGAACGCTCCCTAAGTACCAAAACATTTTTTTCTCTTAGAACAGTAGGCCTATGTCAAATAAACTTAAAATATTATAACGAACGAAAAGGTAACCCATTTCTAATAAAATTTAGTTATTTATTTTATTTTGGTGTGATCGTAGCAAAAATCTTGTGTGTAATTCGAGCAAAAAGTACTTATAAACTTTTACTTAGGGTCGATTTCACCGTTTTATTAAACGAAGTTTAAAATACTAAACAAAGATTAAAATGACATTTTTATATTAACAAAAACGAAGTTTAAATTACTAAATGGAGTTTAAAATGACATTTTTATATTAACAATGTCATTTTAATCTTCGTTTAATAATTTAAACTTCGTTTGACACAACGGTGGAATCGGCCCTTAGCTAGTTATATATTGATAAAGTGTTATTGCCCTCATCATACATGAATCGTGCTAACAAATAAAGTCAAACAAACGTCTCATAATTTTTCATCTTTTAATTACCCACCAAAATTAGGTACTACAATACAAATATTTAAGTCCGGCTCAGAACACCTCCCTACTCCTTCCACCCAGTTTTTCGGTTTTGGCAAAATTCGCGCAGCGAGAAATGCTTCCTATGTTACCTCTACCCTTTCTAACCTCTTTGGGGTTAACTAATAATGCAAAAATGTACATTGTAAAAATTAAAAATCGACCTGTCTCGGCAATTTTCCTAACAAGACCCCAGTAACGAGTTAGTTAGGGGGGGTAAGACTTAAGATGCTCACTGTATGTTAATTGGATATGACGCACAGATTAAAATACGTTGTCAAATATGCAGACAATATTGCAAAAAAAAAGAATTGTTAAAGACTGGAAAGGTTAGAAAAAGATCGCAATAGATTAAAAAAGATTGAAAAGGTTAGAAAAAGATTGTAACAGATTGAGAAGAGATATTAAAATGATTTACCTTAAACATTCGCTGTTTCCCAGATCCGCAGCCAAATGTACAGCAGAAAAATCAGAACAGCCTGCATTGGCACCATTTCGAACCAATATTTGAACACAATTTATTGCATTCGCCCTGACAGCACAATGCAAGGCACTTTCTTTCTCCTCGTAAACACTATTAGTGAGAGCGTCAATTCTTGCCCCATATTGTATCAGGAACAAAGCAGCTTCTACGTTATCCCCGAAAGCAGCGCAATGCAAAGGCGTGTAAAATTTGTATAACGCATTCACATCGCATCCTCTCGATACAAGAAATTTCATACTTGTAATGCAGTTACTGAACGCAGCTAAATGCAAAGCTCCCAAACCTTGAGCGGGCTCGAAGCAATTCAAATTGGCTCCTAATTGTAATAAATCTTCCAAAATATCCCACCTTTTGATTAAACAAGCCCACAAGAATGAAATGTCGATCTCAATACGCCTGGCGCCAATGAAAGCATCCTTAATTGTTTTTTGGTTAATTTTCTTCGATTGAATATCGTTCAATAGACTCGTTCTACCAAAGACATTCTCCATGTGTTCCAAAATGTTCTGCTCGATAGTGTGGTAACATATTTTTACTTCGTTTTCGTTATTTGGGTGTTCATAATTATGGTCGAAGATGAAGGGTACCTCATCGACCGGCGGAGATGGACCGCAATCGATGAACTCATCATCGGGATCGTTTGGATCGTCCTTGGTTTCAGATTTTGCATGTGCAAATAGGTTTGCTAAAACATTATCTTCGTTTCTTTGAGCTTCATTTTCGTCTTCTGTGTCTTCTTTGGGTTTGTTCGTCCTGTGAAGAAACTGTAGAGCTGCACGCACACCCCATAATTTGACAGCAGCCTGTAAACAAAAATAGTAACAATATGTTCAAATAAAATAAAAGAAATGTCTTATTTTTAAATGCACGACATATTTCGGTTATTTCAAATCCTTTAGTGCTGTCAAAATTTAAAATTATTGGGTCTTTACAAATAAATGAAGTGAAAGAACGGTTATTTTTAACCGACTTTAAAAAAGGAGGAGGTTCTCAATTCGTCGGAATATTTTTTTTATACACCGTGTCCCACGTAAGGCGGGCATTACAACTTTATGGAGAATAAATTAATTTGTATTTTCGCCATTTTTTGAGTATACATAGTCGAATATGCTCTTTTTGGATTAAAATAAAATGAACTCTGTGCAACTTCCGGTTATACCGGAAGTGACCACTAACTTCGTTATTTTAAAGGGAATACCCCATATTTTTTTTTTATTTTAGATTCAGCATGAAATTCTGTAAACAACGATACCCCATTTGCCTATTCTAGTTATAGCGGATTTGGCGTTATTCAATTTTTTTCTACATTTTTAGTCGCCGGTAGACATTTTCTTAAAGTCGTCTATCTCAGGTACTATATCTATCAGATACTTAAAATTTTAACCAGAGGTAGTAGATGGGATGTACTTCTTGAGAATATTTAGTTATTCATTATTTGTTGTACGGGGTGTTTGCAAATTATTTTTAAAAATGAAATTTTTTAAACATAAAAAACACCCTATATATTTTTTAAATTTTAGATTCAGCATGAAATTCTGTAAACAATGATACCCCATTCGCCTATTCTAATTATAGTGTATTTGGCGTTATTCAGTTTTTTATAAACTTTTATATGCCGGTAGACATTTGCTTTTTTAAATTTACTTGTACATCGTTTGTTCGACTGTGTGTTTGGAAATTGTTTTAAAAAATAAATATTTTAAACATGAAAATTTTTTTTATTTTAAATGGAAAATCCTGTATATTTTTATTTCATTTTGTTCAGAAAATTATTCTTCATTGATCTTCATTTGCACTAATAATTCCCTATAATTATCTCTCGCCAATTTTAAGAAAATTTAAATTTAAATTTTACGCATGCACCTACATAATATAGTACAGTTTTACATTTTAATTTTTTATCTTAGTATGCCGTGGAAATATGCTAAACAACAATCTGTCAACAAACTGAATTGTCATATTTCTATGTATTTAAGTTGTGTATTTTTTGCGTTCAAAATATGGAAAATATTGAAGAATATACCAACCAAGATATTCTTAATTTATTTTACATTCATGGAGAATGTAATCGAATCAAAAGTAGAACCTGCCGCATGTTTAATCAACGATACCCTCATTTACCACCAATGAACAGACAGAAATTTGATAGAATCGAAGCTAACTTTTTGAATAATTTTAACCAAAACCCGGGAAGAAACCGTCAACATTATGTCCGAGATGAAGAAGTTAATCTAATTAACGTATTAGGGTATTTTACTGCGTATCCTCACGCCTCCATTAGAATGGCTTAAGATAATTTAAATATTAGTCGAGGGTCAATACAACGAATTTTAGCACTAAATAAATGGCATCCCTATGCACAAAGAAAAGTTCATGAGTTGCGAGATGGTGATCAAATAAGACGAACTGAATTATGCGAATGGTTATTGGTACGAATTCAAGAAGATCCCGAGATTTTAAACAAAATTTTGTGGTCAGACGAGTCGAAATTTACACGTAAAGGGATCATCAATCGCAAGCAATGTCATTTCTGGGCAAACGAAAATCCACATTTTTATCGTGAAGCACAATTTCAGTACGAATTTAGTTTTAATGTGTTTGCAGTGATCGGTTTTGGAAGAGCTTTTTATTACATTTATAATGAAAGACTGACCTCAGAAAGATACATTAGAATTCTTAGAGAAGTAGTTGCCGACATTTTAAACCAGCTACCAAATAATAATTTTTGGTACCAGTTGGATGGTGCCCCAGCACATTCAACATACTATGTAAATCAAGAAATTACAGCACTCTTTGAAGACCGATGGATAGGCCCAAATGGCCCTTGGCTTTGGCCTGCAAGATCGCCAGATCTAACTCCTGTTGATTTTTTTTTATAGGGTCATATTAAAAATTTAGTGTACTCTACCCAAATTAATACTAAAGAAGAATTAGAGCAAAGATTTCGGAATGCCTTTAACGAGTTAGATGGTGAAATGATTCGTAAAGCAACAACTAATCATGTTGAAAAAAGATTATTAAAATGTTTAGAAGCTAACGGGGGGCATTTTGAACATTTGATAAAATGATTTTTTTAAACCATGTGCTTTTAATAAAAATTGTTTTTAGTTAGTATTATTAAAAAAATTTAAACTTTTTAAACGACATATTTTGTTGCAGAAAACTGTAAATGTTTTTAAAAGTACATCCCATCTACTACTTCTGGCTAAATTTTTAAGTATCCAACAGAAATAGTACCTGAGACAGTCGACTTTAAGAAAATGCCTACCGGCGCGACGACTAAAAATTAAAAAAAATGAATAACGCCAAATCCGCTATAATTAGAATAGGCAAATATGGTATCATTGTTTATAGAATTTCATGCTAAATCTTAAATTTAAAAAATATATAGGGTGTTCAATTTAAAATAAAAAAGTTTTTTATGTTTAAAAAATTTCATTTTTAAAAATAATTTGCATCGTACAACAAATAATGAATAACTAAATATTCTCAAGAAGTACATCCCATCTACTACCTCTGGATAAAATATAGTACCTGAGATAGACGACTTTAAGAAAATGTCTACCGGCGACTAAAAATGTAGAAAAAAATTGAATAACGCCAAATCCGCTATAACTAGAATAGGCAAATGGGGTATCGTTGTTTACAGAATTTCATGCTGAATCTAAAATTAAAAAAAAAAATGGGGTATTCCCTTTAAAATAACGAAGTTAGTGGTCACTTCCGGTATAACCGGAAGTTGCACAGAGTTCATTTTATTTTAATTCAAAAGAGCATATTCGATTATGTATACTCAGAAAATGGCGAAAATACAAATTAATTTATTCTCCATAAAGTTGTAATGCCCGCCTTACGTGGGACACGGTGTATATGTTCAGCGATAATTCTTTATTACGTTGTCCGATTTCTATTATTCTTTTTTGTTAGAAAAGGAATACCTTAGAGGTAGTTCCTCTAGTTAATGGAATTGATTTTAAATTTCTCAATAGCTCTTTCGAGGCATACTTAGCAATATCACAGCTAATGGATATGTTTAATCTTGGCACCTATAATAATTTATTAAATGAAGGTAATTGAACTTTAGATTTTATTTTAAGTAATACCAATATTCTGGTAGATAAACATTAACATCCTCTAATAGTTGAAGATAAAAAACATCCAGTTCTTTCTTTAAGCTATAGTATAACTAAAATTCTTTGGCAAGTAAATCAGTAGTAGGATCTGATGATCTCTGAGAAAATAAAAAATCTTAATTTTTAAAAACATCTGCACGATTTTGAAGTCAGTTTTGGTAGAAATAAGGTTGTACATTATCCTATATACACTACCCTATATACACCAACCTATGTACTTACTCAAAAAGGTAAATCAAACGAGGGTGGTCCTTAGGATCTCACAAGAGTATTTTATTACGACCGGTTTCGAGGATCAAATCCTTATCATCAGGTAAGGTCTAAAAATAGAGAGGAAAAACGAATGAGCTCATAACTAATAAGTGGGTATAAACATTTTAATATTAAAGTTGTCAACTATCAAGAACTCACCCGTAATTACTCATCTATTTAAGACTAAGCTAATAGAATTATCCCAGGGTCGGTGTAAAAACAAGTATGCGAGTATTTTTTAAAAAATATATCAAAAATATAAAAAACAATAATTGCAACAAAAAGTTGATGTCAAAACACATAAACAAAAGTAGGTCTAAAACTATTAATTAAAATTATTAAAATATTTCACGAACGGACGAACAATTAAGACAAACAAATTTAAAAAACTTTTTAAAAAACCCTACAAGCACTAAAATGGGTTCTTGGACAAGTGTTTATAATTCTACAGGAATTAAATTTTATTTAGATTAATAATATTTAAGATAACAGTTTAGAGGTTGTCAAATTTAAATATTTTGACCATCGGCTAATAGATGGCGTTGGCGAAAAAATAAATGTTTCTTAATAATAATATAGGTTTATAAACTGAATTGTTTGAATTTGTACGTAATAAACAAAATGAAATAAATAAATTATTATTGTTAAAAGTAGAGTCTAGCATTAGCGTTGGAAAATAATTTTAGATGTACTAATATTCAAATTAAGAAGTTGGTAACAATCAACGGAAAAGGAAATGGTGTTAAAATGAAAAGAGAGAAAACTATTGATTTGGTTAATTATTTTTTTGAAGTAATGTGCTGAAAAATGAAAATGGAAAAAGAGACAGAATAAAAATAAGGAATATTAAAATGTTTATACCCACTTATTAGTTATGAGCTCATTCGTTTTTCCTCTCTATTTTTAGACCTTACCTGATGATGAGGATTTGATCCTCGAAACCGGTCGTAATAAAATACTCTTGTGAGATCCTAAGGACCAACCTCGTTTGATTTACCTTTTTGAACTTATAACTCACACATGGCTACCACCTTCAACTTTAATATGTACTTACTTCTTACGTGTGATAGTCAACACGATGACTGATGTTTTTTTAAAAATTTAATTTATTGACTTTGTAAATAAAAAGTTATAAAAGAGAACCTTGCATTATTACCCATCGATAACAATTCAGAAGTGGTAACGAATTCAATTTCTACAAATAGATAACAAAGGCCGAACATTTACTGAATGGGATAATATTCGCATATTACAGACTAGGAAATCAATTGATTTTCGGATACGCGAGTGACATTCCGTTTTGCAATTTGAACATTTTTGAAAAACCCATGCGAGATATTGTTCAAAATGATTCAAAGACTTTAATTTTAAGAGACTTTGGGGTCTATTCTGTAACAATTCCTTTATATTTAACGGCCTTTAAAAATATTGGCGGCCTTTAATATATTTTCGTATTCGTTAATTTACTTCTGTCATTACTTAAACAGATTTCTTTAAGATAGTTCTTTAATGTATTTTAAAGATCCGTTTAAATAATGACAGAAGTAAAGAAGAAAATATTTTTAAAGGCCGTTAAATATAAAGGAATTGTTACAGAATAGACCCCAGTGTCGGTTTTATTAATAGTTTTTTTAAGAGCAAACATGACGGGCGCTCCTCCGCCAAAATTTTAGAAAAAAAATAGAAACTCAATTTTAGTCACCACTTCTTAAGGGTGATATCTCGGAAAGGGGTGGGCTGAGGAATTTTGTTATAGGAAAGACCCATCTAAATTTCATACGAGCAATCACCTCCTGAAATTTGTCGCATGAATTTTTAAACACCCTGTATGTTTGTATATTAAGGTGAATGCAGCAGCCTTTATAATTTTCGGACAAGGATATTTCAAAAAGTAATTTTGTTTAAAAATTAAAATTTTGGCAAAATAAATTAGGTAATACTCGTATTAACTAGATATGCCTATATTTGAAAGTTTTAATTCTTTCCGAGAAAAAAAAATCAAATATGTTAATGAAAATAAATGCATTCTTGGTAATGATTTTTTAAAATTCGCCAAAATTAGTGGCTAAAACGCCTCGTTAAGTGCTGCCTTATGGTGTAACGCGCTTGTAACTATCGTATCGTACACTATGTCATCATTCGTTTCCTGCAACAAATTACACCAGTTTACACTAGAAGATAGCACTTAACGAGGCGTTTTAGCCACTAATTTTGGCGAATTTGGGTTTCATTTTGTCAGAAAATGGGTGAACAAAAAAATGAGAGCCATAGATAATTTTCCTAGACCTACAAACGTTCATGATGTTAGGAGATTTTTAGGTCTGTTTTCTTTAGAAGATTCATACCAAAATGTGCTTTGTTAGCTAAACCTATAACTGATTTAACTAAAAAGAATTTTAGTTTTAGCTGGGGTATCAAAGAAGAAGAAGTTTTCACATTATTGAAAAGTAAGTTATCGATTGCGCTTGTATTGAAACTTTTTGATAGAAACGCAAAGACTGAGCTACATACAGATGGTATCGGTGGTATAGTTTTTCAAGAGGACAAAGACGGTAAATTACTCAAACTGAACAACACTATCACCCATAAAAAATCGAGTTGATGGCTATGGTGTGGTCAGTAAAACGACTAAAGTTAATGTTGATGGGTATTCATTTTTTAATTGTTACAGATTGTAAAGCATTAATATATTTAAATTCTAAAAGATCTGCAAATCTACAAATAGTCAGATGGTATGCTACATTAATGCATTATAATTTTAGTATAAAGCATAGACCTGGAAGCGAGATGCACCATATCGACACACTTAGCAGAGCTCTTGTAGAAGATGAAAATGGCAAATTCCTTAATGACTGAGTAGGAAGAATATTTGGAGTCTTTGTAGTATTAGATGAAGAGAATAAAATTCTGATGATTCAGAGGAGCGATGAAGATCTTAGAAAAATAGTAGAAATACTGAACAAAAATTCTGATGATCTATCAAAATAAGAGAAGAATAAAACAAGAAAATTCAGTTTTAAAAAAAGGAAGACAGCTTAAGAAGGTAACCATAGATAAGAAAGAGCGACATCTTTATGTAATACCGGATAAAATGAGAAAGTCAGTTGTGATAAAATATCATGATCTGGCTGGACAGTAGATCGCACAGTTTAAAAAATATTAGAAACTTGCTGGTTTAAGGGGATGAGAATATATGTTAAAATACATATCAATGGCTGTTTTGAATGTCTCATGCAGAAATAACCCGGTGGAAGGCAACCTGGAGAAATACATCCAATTCCTCTACCCAGTAGATCTATGAAAAGAGTACATGTAGATCATTTAGGTCCATTTCTTTGGAGTTACGAAGGTAAATCTTATGTTTTGGTTATTATCGACTCCTTATCAAAATTTGTGCAATTATTTGCTGTTAAAAACAGTTATAAGCAAAGAAACTTTGATAATGTTTAATCATTTTGTACAAAAATTTGGTATACCAAGAATAGTAGTTACTGATAGAGGTACAGGTTTTACAGGGAATGATTTTAAAAGATACTGTAAAGAAAAGGGAATTCATCATAATCTTATTGCTAGTCGATGGGCACAAGTCAATGGCAAAGTTGAAGTTGTGAATAAGTGTTTATTATCAGTAATTAAGACTTCCATGGAAAATGAAGAAAACTGGGATAAAAATATAAAAGACGTTTGTGCACTTTTTCCTGTATACACCAACTTGATTAACTATACGGGGCCCTACTATATAACAGATAGAAAGTTGGTTGAATTAGACAAAAGTTGCGCAGTTTTGTTCTCATTAAAATGATATTCAAAATATCGCACAAAAAATGAAAATTGTAATTTCTTTAAATTCGTTTATTTTTGTCCGATATTTTAAATCTCCCTGTAGATATTAAAGGTTTCTTGGCACCATTTTAATGAGCACACAACTGCGAAACTTTTGTCTAATTTAACCAACTTTCTATTTGTTATCGTTTAAGAAATAGCAGTATTGTCCCTATGAAATAGTAAAGAACCAGTATAAATACTACTCGACTATGCATGCATGTAAATATTGTGAATAATAATCTAAAATACCAACAACAAAAAAATAAATATAAAAAAATATGGCAAGGAACAGTTTTGCTGTTTCGCACCTTTTAAGACGGATGAAAGTTAGAAAAGCTACTTTCACTTTTGCGCACTTATATTCTATGTTGTTGTCACCGTTTGCTGCTGCACATTCAAACATAACAAAGCTCTAAGTTCAACGGCGACTGCAACGTCAAACAAACTGTAACGGCGACGGAACTGCTAGTTTATAAATTGACCTTACGCCAGCGAAACAGAAAATCCATGCTATCTGTCAGTCCTAAACCTAGAGCTCTGCTGGAGGGTATAATGGAAAGTTACTACTGAAATTAATAATTATGACATAAAATAATATGTATTGTAAATTATTTAGTCAGCAAAAATGCGTGTTTTAATAATAACTCTTGAATGTAGGTCTTGTAATTAGTCATAATGATTAAGGAGCTGCAAATGAGACCTTTATTTTTGTTGATATTTTTCTGAGGCGCAAGTCAGCCAAAAATTACGGTTTGTAGGCGCAAGTAGGCCGACAACGATTTAAAAATTCAATTGCACTTACCATTCAATTAAAACTACTGAAGACCATGGCCATCTTTTATACCTGAAACAAAATAGATCATGTTATCGACCTGTAAAATTGACTATAAAAAATGAGGAACCGTTTAAATGAAAATTTTAGTCAAATGTAACCTTGAAATTGAGGAACGTTTCAGGACTCAGACGTAATTATAGTGGTCAAGATATAGCGAAATCTTTACAGATTAGTTTATTACGTTATTCATTCAAATGATAAGCAAACTGTACAGATCCGCATTATCTATTTTTTTTATCAATTTTATTAGGAATATATTTAAGAAAGCAGTTAAATATTTTCAAACATAATTATTAAAATGACTAAGAATTAGACCCGTCTTTATAAACGATCTCAGCCAAGTCCGACTTAGCTGAGTCGTACTTGAACGAAAATCGAAGTTCGGTTATATCCAAAGAGGTTAAAAATGGCAGAGATAACATAGAAAGCATTTGCCGCCTTATACAGTGCTTTTCAGATAAAAGTATCCACCTTAAGTAACTTTTGAAGGACTGATTATTACAAAAAACAAAAAAATACGTCAATTAATATTCGAAGGGGGAGATATCGTGCCATATTTAAGTTTGCTAAAAAAGTCACCCTTTCACCCCTACTATCATCCCTTCAATTTTTTTAAATGGCTTGCCCCATTTTTTTATCCATTTTTGGATTGCTCTCGTTTAACTGATTTCAAAAATGTATAAAACATGGGGATTAAAGTAATTAGTTTACGATCTACAGAATTTTAAATTAAAATAAAATTGAATTGTGCAAAACTTTTATTTTAATGATTTTGTCACAAGCGTTTCCAATGACAAAACGAATATTTCATTTTCAAAATTTATTATAAAAATTGTTCAAAATGTCCACCATTTACTTCCATACAATGGTATAACCTAGATTGATAAGCCTCCCTGACATTACCGAACACGTGTGCATTTAAATGTAGGCATTCATACTCTATTCTTTGTCGTAAATCTTCTAAAGATTCTGGTTGGGTAGCATAAATTTTTGTTTTTAAATAACCCCATAAAAAGAAGTCTAGAGGTGATAAATCCGGTGATCTAGGTGGCCACTCCATCATCGAGCCTCTTCTACCTATCCAACGATTGGGGAAAGTTTCATTTAAAAATTGTCGTACTGGCAAAGCAAAATGTGGAGGCGCTCCATCCTGTTGAAAGACAAGCAAATCTTCAGAAAAATTATGATCATTTTCTATTATTGTTGTAATACGTGGATCAATTACTTCTCTCAATAACTCAAGATATGACTCTCCATTTAAGTTTCCGTCTAAAAAGAAAGGTCCGACTATGTGGTCACCTAGGATACCACACCATACATTTAACTTCTGAGGATTCTGTGTGTGGTATTCACGCACAACATGTGGATCACTCTCAGCCCAATATCTGCAATTATGTCTATTAACTAAACCATTAACTGAACATGTGCATTCATCCGAAAAACAAAGGTTGTGCAACAAATGTGGATTGTCAGTCAAGCGCTGACTCAATAGTTCACAAAATTCAAGACGACGATCAAAATCATCTTCATACAACTCTTGAACTAATTTAATTTTGTATGGATGGTACTTATGCTTGTGTAATATTCGATAAACTGTGGAAGATGAAACACCTACTTCGCTGCTTATTGTTGTCAGTGACTGTGCTTGTTGATTTTCAAGACTTACTTGTCCTAAAACTGCGACTTCAATTGCTTCGTTATTTACGAGTTCCAGTCGGTTATGTTTTTTATTGCCAACTGACCCGGTTGATGTAAATTTATGCATAAGATCAATTACATACTTATGAGTTGCATGACCTCCATGGTGTGTTTCGTTGAAAATTCTAGCAGCAGCTCGTGCAGAACTGTTATTTTTGTAGTTCAATTCTTTCTTGTAAACTGTAAACCATTTTCAAATCAAATAAATAACCTCAACAAATCAATGTGCACATGTATCAAAATACACTATAAAAGTAATTTAAATTCATTTTTCAAATCTCCAATACCTTTACCATGTATCATAAAAAACTTCAACAAGTTTTTAGCGGTACGATTAAGGTATAATGGGGTCTATTCTGTAACAATTCCTTTATATTTAACGGCCTTTAAACATATTGGCGGCCTATAAAACTATGTTCGTATTCGTTAATTTACTTCTGTCATTGCTTAAACAGTTTTCTTTAAGATAGTCCTCTAATGTATTTTAAAGATCCGTTTAAATAGTGACCGAATTAAAGAAGAAAATATTTTTAAAGGCCGTTAAATATAAAGGAATTTTTACAGAATAGACCCCATTGTATTCTAAATCCAATTTTGCTGCAGTCAGTAAGGTGAGATGTAAAAATTTGTCACTCAAATAATGGAACCCTGTAGATCATAAACTAATTATTTTAAACCCCATGTTTTATACATTTTTAAAATCAGTTAAACGAGAACAATCCAAAAATGGCTATTTAAAACAATTGAAGGGATGATAGTAGGGGTGAAAGGGTGACTTTTTCAGCAAACTTAAATACGGCACGATATCTCCCCCTTCGAATATTAATTGACGTATTTTTTTGTTTTTTGTAATAATCAGTCCTTCAAAAGTTACTTAAGGTGGATACTTTTATCTGAAAAGCACTGTATATTGCATAAATGTATAAAATGTTGATGAATAAAATTATTGTTTCTTTCTCTAATGCGGGCTTTCTTGCTGATATTAGAATCTTCAGCAGTAGCGTACGTAAACCGATTGTGTTGGGTTATTTTAAATGTGAAAATAGTGACTGTAAGTAGATGAAAAAATTCAAAATGTTTTAAAAGATAGGTACGTTTTTATTAAAGTAAAAACAAAATATTATCATGTCAAAAAATAGAATAATAATTCAAATATTTTATTGCTTCTAAAACATTTAGGTTTATAGCTAAGATTCGGAAGTCTATAAAATATCTATATATTGAAAACATATACAATATAGAACTGAAAAATACATAATAAAGCATTTGATTTAAACATGAAAAATATACCTAATAAGAATAAAATAAACCAATATATACCTATTTACCATAAGTAGAAGTATTTCAGGACATAAAAAAAAATCGGAATGGGCCGTTTCGACGCGGCCGTTTCGACGCGGCCCTTTCGACGCGAGGACTTTTCGACGTCAAATTTAAATTTTTTAAGTAGTTATTAAATTATTAAAAAAAAAAAGATTTGAAATATCAATTTTTTGCAGATTTATTCTTTGTATAATATTGGAGTAATTTATCTTGTATCGCGATTGTGACGAGAGGATTTTAAAAATCGTTATCTTCTATATACAGGGTGGACCGGATTTAATTTGCGTATACAGAGATCTCGTAAATCGTAAGATATACATTGTCGGTTAAATGGGGAAAAAGTTTCGTATTTTGACGGATAATACAATAGTCCATAGAAGTTCCAGATTTTCCGACTGGTTCCGGAGATATTCGATAAAATCCGAAAAACCTCATTTTCGTTTTTTAAGTCATGCGTTGTTATTATAAAAGATACAAAAAAAATTAAACAAAGTTTTTATTATAAATCAAGTTCCCTATAATCTGCCATGTCAAAATTTTTATTACGACGTTTCGTATTTCCAGGGCCACCTTCAACTTATTTTTTTTAAATACGGACCTGGATTTTTAAATGTAATTTTTTATAGCTTTTGTATAGCTAAATACAACGATATGTTACACTTTACCATTTTACTACGTTTCGTCTATAAAAATATCATCAGCTCTGTAGCTTCTGATGATACCGTTTCTTACTTGATTAAAACAAGATAGCTAATTAAATAATTAAAAAACAAAAATGCTTAAAATGTGAAATTTTAAATATTATTTGAAACATAATACAAGAATTATTTTATTACAAAATGGGTTAGAATTTTTTATCAAACATGATTAAGTACAACCAGCAAACAAGACTAATAACAAAAACAAAATTCAAAAACAAAAACAGTCACAATAGTTGCTCAAAATGTAGTCCATTCTGTTGGATACAGAGTGCAATTCTTCTAGACATTTGGGATGTAGTTTTATCAACCATTTCTTGTGTAATTTTTTCAAATACATCTACTATTCGTTGACGAAGTTCTTGTAGATTATTTGGCATATTTTTGTCGTAGATTTGGTTCTTTACGAAGCCCAATACAAAATAATCCATGGGGTTAAGACACGGAGATCGAGGAGGCCATCTTATTGGTCCATTGGTACCAATCCAATTACCTCTAAACAGTATTCGCTGTGTGCAAGACTGGTAGCGCTCTCTGGTGACGGGATAGCGACAGTTCTCCTCATTCTATCCCGCATACTTGCTATACACCTCACACTCAACAGTTGAACTTAAAAATTCTTTTTCAACCATTAAGTGTTGCAACAAGTTTTGTGTTCGCTGTTAGTTGATAGACTAACAAAAATTGTTTCTTTCGCACAAAAAGTTAGTAAATGACATAAAAATATTTGGAGGTTATGCATACGAAGTATCTGCTTTTTGAATGTCATAAATCAATGTAATTTGTCTGTATTTTTAGATGCTACATTTTTGTCATGAGTGTCATCTTGTACACTGGATTTGAGAAAATATCTCATGACATAAACTTTCAGCCTGAAACGCCAAGAAAAGGTAAAGATTTGGTAGAAACTGGGCATGTCATAAATGTCGAAGAGCACAGAGAGTCAGGTGTTGGACTTTTTATCCGAGCTGGTGTCATTAGACAAACGTCTGTCACGAAAAAAGAATATCTTGTAGAATTGCATATAAGATAAAAATTGTGTTGAAATCCATTTATTATTGACAATAATAAAAATAATCGCATGTTTTCTAATATTATTTCAGCTTGATGCAACTCGGCGAATTCTGTCAGTTTCTTGTAATTGCGTTTACGGAAATAGTTCGACTCTCTGAGCAATTACTAATAGAGGGAGCGTGAAAACGAGTTTGTAGGCGATTGTTGTGTTAGCAACATCTGTAGAGGAATTGAGGAAGCGGGCACAAGGGGGAAGGTAATCATCCTTCTTGTTCA